AAGGAACATAATTTTGTAGTCAAGTAGTTTGATAAACATACTTATGCACCTACTGCAATATACTTCTTGCAAGGAACATAATTTTGTAGTCAAGTAGTTTGATAAACATACTTATGCACCTGATCACATCTTAAGGCTACGTGTTCTTGCTTCTTTGTCTGCTTCCCTCCTGTGTCTTGTGGCTTGTGCATATGATGGCAAGAGACTCCATCATTAATTTGTTAATTAGAATTATATAATCAACTTTGATCCAAAAGCAATTCACATCATGCTCTCTCTCACAAACTTTATGCTTGCATACATAAAGATATGGAAAGGAAGGATAAGGCCTTTTAAAAAAAAATTGTTATTGTTTTAAAAAAAAAAGCTGTTGTTCATTGGATAAACAATTACTATTCATCCGAAAAAAAAATATTTTGCCATTACTATTCATTAGTGTTCATAAAAAACAATAATTTGAGATTACTGTTACTATTCTAAACTGTTTATTAAAAATATTTTTGCTAATTGCTTATCTATTAATTAATAGTGTTGTTAAAATAATAATATAATTAAATTTCTGTTACTGTTCATTCGAGATGATTACTGTTCATCCGAGAATTTTTAACTGTTAATTATTACATTTATTACATTTAATTAATTGTTGTTAATTAAGTTGTAATAATTACTACTAATTAATTCTAACAGATATTTAAAATTAATTGTAAGTAATTGTTTTAATTGCTTTTATTGCTTTTATTGTTGTTTTAAGATGTTGCAAGTGGGCTCTTTGCCTTCCAGTACCTCACGAGTCTGAAGTTCAAGCTCTTCCACAAATTAAATCTTTCTCGGCCTTACTGTTCTAAGCTTGCTGGGGCGGGCCGGAGTCGTTCTGACAGACCCCACAAAATAAAGTTTTACTCTCACGACATGTAAATAATGAGGTTCGAACATCAATAGGTAAACCCCCCCTCGGTTTTATCCAACATATGTTTGCAGTATAATTGCTAGGTAATTTAAATGATTACAGGAAATAATTTATAGTTTCTATATACTGTTAAAGAACAAAAACTCATTGAGTGAACCGATTCAAGTTTTCTTGGATTAGTTGGTGTCTAAGGCAAGGTTTAGGAGTTGCGTAACTCGCTCTGCAAGGAACGAGGTACTTAATTGATCTTTGATCAACCTCTATTACTATCCTTACCTGGCTAACTACCCAGGTAAAACTTTAATCTTTTCACTTTAGGAGTTTTTGGTTTGGAATAAGAGAACCGGAATTATGTGAAAATTCATATGCATTTATTTAATTACGCTTCTTGCATCATATATTGCCTAATGATAAATGATCAATATATGAGCGAACAAATCAAAGAGGTGCATTTTTTAAAATTCTATTTTATACGGTGGATTATATTTCAAATCTAAATGTTCATATATCTTTTGGATAACTTGCATTTGTTACATGATTAATTGTAAGGTTTTATGCAAGAATGCACTTGAAAATTTAAAGCACGTATGTACAAATATTATTATTATTATTATTATTATTTATATAAGAGGTGGTACTAGAAAATAGCAACATAAATTTGGAAGGTCTCCTTTGTAGACAACCAATTTAAATTTGGAAGGTCTCATTTGTAGGCAACCGATTTAAATTTGGACGGTCTCCTTTGTAGGCAACCAATTTGTAACCTCTTATAATAGAATAATTTAAAAATTTTATGCATTTGAATTATGAAGTATGAAATATATTTTAAGATACGAAAATATATTTTAAGATACGAAATCCTATTATGCTCTGCATGTATCTATTATTAATTTCATTCATGTATGTGCATATGCATAACTGCAGAATTTTTAGTTCCACATTAGTTTGAAATGTTCAGATATTAAGGTCAATCTCTTCAGACATAGACTATGATCTTTTATGATCATAGATCATGACCTAATGTCAATTTCAAACAATATGATGGACTAATTATAAAATAAATAAATACAACGCCTGCTAGGCAAAGTTGAGATTCTAGACTTTATAAAGTCTGTGAAAAGAATCTTGTTGCTCCTTTGACTAAGGGATTATCCAGGAGTGTGGTTCTGGATTCATCGAGGAAGATGGGGTTAAGCCCATAAATGAGGTCACTGGCAGCGGCAACCCAATGTCGGTTCAATGTGGTAGAAACAAGCTGGACAAGTGACTCTCGTGTGGAGCATCAACCTAGATATATTTATATATCATTATGTAGCATTTGCTACTACCCCTTCTCTATGATGACGATGCTCTTATGATACAGCTGGCTAGGCTGAGTTTTACTCTTAATAAGTCCAACGCGTGTATTGTGGGGGGTATTAAATAAACAGCTGTAGTACCCTTTGAGGACTTACCTACGTGAGAGGAACCGTGATGGCCGCGGTTAGGGGGGGCTGGGCTAACCCCTAGAAACTCTCATGAGTCGGTTTATTGTGAGCATGGCCTTTAACGCTCAACCCGCTTTGCTCAATAGATGAAGCGTATTGTGTGTGTTTTCATCAATACCTGATTAAAGGGGCCTAATTCAAGGCCTAGTCCATTATGTCCCTCAGGTGGCGATGAACTCACTAAGGAAAGGTTCAAAGCCGAAAGCTACCTCTCCCGAATTCACGATACGAAAGGTTGCCCAACCTATATTTGTTTTATGATTTCTTGATTTATTTATTAATTTCTGAGTCTTCAGTCAATATTGCCTTTGGGGGGGGCTGTTAGATATTTTATTAAGAAAAGACAATTTTGCCTTCATGAATAGTAATAAAATTTTTATAATTAAACTGTTAGATATTTTATTAAGAAAAGACAATTTTGCCTTCATGAATAGTAATAAAATTTTTATAATTAAACCATGTCTTAATTAGCAATTATTTATATGTGTAACGGTTTTATAATTATGGGGAACGTTACAAAAATTTATGACGAACGTTACGGAATTAATTACGGGTTTTGTAATGTCTTTTCCAACCTTATATATATCCGTATGTTGAGCTCAAAATGATAAGAAAAAAAAATATACAACAAGTTTCTATTGTTTTTCTTCTCTCTCCTACATATTATTTTCATCTACATCTTAGTTTTATTTTATGGGCAACTTCCTTCATCTGAGCTGAAGCTCTGTACTCTCGCCCGAGTGTAGAGGCCGGCCGTTTCAGGGGGTTTTTACCGCTAGGGGGAGGGAACTATCTGCGCCAGGGCGATAGGCGGGTTCTCAATCTTCTAGGACAGTGAATACACGACTGCTCCCGATCAGGCTAGTTTTAATTGTTTAATTTTTCGGATTTATCTGCATGCTATAATCTTAATTATTTGATAAATTTCCAACAATATTTATACCAAGCACAAATGCCAAACAGAACAGGAAACCAAAACAGACCCGAACCCGACTCGCGGTCGGCCGCACTTGATGCCGCTGTCGACCGGTTAGAATGACAGAAAACACGTAAATCGATTACAGGGTCCGCCGGTCGACCGCACTTGACGCCGCGATCGACCGGCTAGAAAACCGAAAAACACCCTGTAGTCGTGCACGTTTGCGGTCGATCTTCGCAAAGTTCGTGGTCGATCGTGAAGCCTCCAAAATATTTCCTGCTTCCCAGAACCTGTTTTTCTCCAATTTCTTTGACAGATCTACGATAAGTACTATATGATAACATTCGGATAAAAAATTTCACATTTGCAAAACATAAGGTATTAACATGCCAATTTCAATCAACTCAAAGTACATATATGTTACTATATACAAGTGAGGGTATATAAGTGTTAAAGGCGTAAAACTATAAGATACTTAAGTACAATTTAGCCCTTCGTCAAACTAAGAAGATGCTAAAAAAGTTTCTATTTCTATTTCGTATGTAACAGTGATTTCTAATAATACAATCGAACTTAAACTGCAGAAAGTGCAACTGTGTAAGTGACGCCTTATAAAAAGTCCACGTCGAAGTGCAGTGATCCTCACTATTGTTGATTCTCTCCAAATAGATGGAGAGAATCCGTGTAGTTTGAATGCTGAAATCATTAGTAGGACAAATGAATTAATTATGAAATGTTCGATCAAAAGACAAAATCTTAGGGGCTTGACCTAATTTTTTTAATAAGTCATCGTTTTCCGAGCATC